TGAAACCAAACGCCCGCGGATGACTCACGAAGCAAGTGATGGGCGTAATGAACTTCCAGCAGAACTTCCACCAGAAGAAGGGGTAATATCCGATCATCTCCTTGACGCAGTCGTACCATCTGTCGGCGCCGAAGCCCCAGCTGATGGCCAGGCACTCGAACATGATCAAGGAGATGAGGCACATTCCGGAGGCTGCGTAGGTATCTAGAATCTGGAACACGTACATTCCGCCCTGGAAGAAAAAGGGGCAGCGTCAGGAGAGGTTTGTGGATAACATGTGTAGATGTGTAATAATAGATGTTGTAATGATACGGAATAATGAATGACTGGTTTTTGGTTTATGTGTGTGTGGGTGCTAGTTTCAAGCCATGGTGATGCCTTAATGGCTTGGTTTATTTTCTATTTTTGTGTAGAAGTAATAAATATCTATAGGGTCGTATCTCACCCGAAGACTAACAGTAACTCATTAATTACTCTCCTTACCCTACTCTGCTAATTCAGTCTCTCCTCATACCCATTTCCCCTTCAACTTCGTCGTCATCGTCGACGTCATCATCGTCTTTCTCCTTCTCCTCCTTCTATTCTTTCTCCTTTTCCTCCATCTCCACCATCACTTTCACCTCCCCCTCCATTTCCACTACCACCTAGTTTTACCTCCACTACCTCCTCCACCTCCACCCCCACTACCTCCACCACCTCCACCCCCATTACCTCCACCTCCACCCCCACTACCTCCTCCACCTCCACCCCCATTACCTCCACCTCCACCCCCACTACCTCCTCCACCTCCACCTCCACTACCTCCTCTACCTCCTCCACCTCCACCCCCACTACCACCATCACCTCCTCCACCTCCACTTCCACTACCTCCATCACCTCCTCCACCTCCACCCCCACTACCACCATCACCTCCTCCACCTCCACCCCCACTACCTCCACCACCCGCTCCACTTACCTCCGTGACGCACGACAGGCCAACCAGGTAGGAGAGAACACACACGATAAGGATAAAGAGTTCCTTGTGTTTGCGCAGGTATTTAGGCCACTCGTCAGACACGGCCGTGATGAAGCCCTCGATCGTGCAGAACTTTGGAGAGGAGAGAACTTTATGTAGAACAGAATACGAGTGAGGGGAAAAAAAAGAATGTTAGTTCTATTTTGTAAGGCCATGAGGGAAAATAATCATAAGTTGTTTGTTTCAGCATTACGTATGTATCTATAGCTATCTGTCTATCAATTTGTCTATATATCTATTTTTCTATTTTTCTTTCTATATTCATGCACAATCGTAATGTAGCCTGTTATACTACTGGTTTTAGTTATTCCTTCTTATTACTATTGTTTATGCTTTTATCCTTTGTTATGTTTTCACCATTATTGCAGTTGTTCTTATCATCATCACTGCTATCATTATTGTTATTAAGAGTAACATTATTATCAACTTTCATAATCATCATCTCGTTCTTATAAAAAAAATCTTAACATTATTTTAATTTCTAAAATAATTATTTTCAATAATCTTTAACGCTATCATGATCTTTAACATTGGTCTACTTGTAACCATCTTTATAATCAGCAATATACCCATCATTATCATTATCGTTGTTACTATCATTAATCCAGCTACAATAGCCTTAACCAAGACCCTAACTCCCACATGATACAGCTAACCACATAACGGAAACTCCCTCATGGCATAACTACCACGCTACACAAACTCCCTCATGACAGTTAACATAACACTCGTTTCCCGACCCGCCACGGGGAGAGAGAAACCCCCGGGGACATGACATACATTCAGAAGCCTCACCTGAGAGTCGAGTCCAAGCATGAGTACCATAAGGAAGAAGAGCGCGGACCACAGGGGAGACACGGGCAGCTGCAGCACCGCCGTCGGGTACGCCAGGAACGCCAGACCGGGTCCTATTGGAGGGAGCAAGGGCGGGAGGGAAGGTAAGAAGGAGTGGTTAACGTTGGCACTTCGATGTTATTAGCATTTTTTTTTTTTTTTTTTTTTTTTTTGTTTTTTGTTTGTTTGTTAGGTTAGAGGGGAAACGGACGTGGATGATAATGATAAAGTACAAATGTGATGACAGAGAAGAAGGAAAGCGAGAGAGAAGATAATTTTTTGTTTTTCTTTTTAGTTTGTTTGTTAGGTTAGATGGGGAAACGGAGGTAGATGATAATCATAAAAAAACAAACAAATGTTATGATCGAGAGAGAGAGCGAGAGAGATGATAATTTTTTGTTTTTCTTTTTTGCTTGTTTGTTAGGTTAGTGGGGAAACGGAGGTAGATGATAATCATAAAGAACAAATGTGATGACCGAGAGAGGGAAAGCGAGAGAGATGATAATCAGTATGAAGAAAATAACGAGATGAATTTATGAATGAAAATAATATGACATGATTTTCTTAAACGAGGGGGGGGGTTGTTTTTAATCATTATGTCCAGAAAATAAAATGAGGAGTACTTAACAAATACAAGCAAAATGTGATTTTTAAAAATTACTGGTGTGTTGGATGACCTGTTGACATACGTTGTTAACTGTCATATGCAGCGTAAGAAATAATATTTAAGAGGAAGGGAGGAATTATCATTCAATATATTTTTTTTAACGTTATTTGGAAGACGTTAAATGGTTTATATAGTAAGAAGTATCTGTTTAAAGATGCTCACATATACTTAAATATAGTTCTTTGTTTGAAAGCAGTACAATAATGTGGTGGCGATTTTTTATTTGTTTGTTGAAATTTCATTTAAGAAATTAATTAAACAATACAATACAAAGAGAAAAGAAGAGAAGAGAAAAGAAGAGAAGAGAAGAGAAGAAAAGAAAAGATAAGAGAAGAGAGAAGAAAAGAAAAGAAAAGAAAAGAAAAGAAAAGAAAAGAGAAGAGAAGAAAAGAGAAGAAAAGAAAAGAGAATAAAATAAAATAAAATAAAATAAAATAAAATAAAATAAAATAAAATAAAATAAAATAAAATAAAATAAAATAAAGTAAAATAAAAAGAAGGGAGAGAGAGAGAAAAAAAAAATGCTGTAACCTCCATTCCCTTACCTGAAGCAGCCACGTCAGCCACGGACTTCTGCTGCGCCTCCGCCATGAATCCGACGACGGAGAAGATGACGAAGCCGGCGAAGAAGGACGTGCAGGAGTTGATGGTGCAGAGGATGAGCGAGTCCCTGCGAAGGAGAGACGGTGAGAATGGGCGAATAAAGGAGAGGGGGAGATGAAAGGGAGAGATGGAAGAGGGGGAATGAAGAAGAGACGGTGGGAATGGGGGAATAAAGGAGAGGGGAGATGAAAGAGGGGGAATGAAGAAGAAACGGTGAGAATGAGGGAATAAAGGAGAGGGGGAATAAAGGAGAGGAGGAAATGAAAGAGGGGGAATGAAGGAGAAGGGGAATGAAGGAGAGGGGGAGGTGAAAGAGGGGGAATGAAGGGGAGGAGGATAAAAATACTAACGTAGTAATTCTAATGTCAATGCTAGTGATGATTCTGAGGATATTTGGATCTTAATGTGCGTATTTGTTTGTAAATAGATGCATGTTTTTTTATAATAACAACATTAATAATAATAATAATAATAATAATAATCATAAAAATAACAGTGATAACAACAAAATAATAATAATAATAATAATAATAATGTACATGCGTACTTATTCATATATACGTATCTATAAATACTTGCGACAACGCACAAGCTAAAACGACTTACTTATAACAGTTGTTATCAAACTTATTGTAGGATCCGAGAGCGATAAGCGAGCCCAACACAAGGGCGTAGGACCAGAACACCTGTGACACCGCTTCCACCCACACCTGTTGACAAGGGAACAGTTGTTAATGGGAGCAACAGTGTTATTAAGCAACAGTTTCAATAGCAGCAACAGTGTTAATAGCAGCAACAGTATTAAAAGTAGAAACATTGTTAACAGGAGAAACAATTTTGACAGAAGCAAGAGTGATAAAAATAACAATGTTCAAAGAAGCAATAATGTTAAAAGAAGCAACAATGTTAAAAACAACAGAGAAGCACGAATTCTAAAAGAAGAAACAATAATTAAAAGGACCAAACGAGGACTAAGAATCGTCTCCATCGTGGCGTAGAAACTATCAACAACTTCAAATCCACCTTTTATGTGGCCTTCTGCTTTTACATTTGCCTATTTCTTGGTGTCCATGTTGTTAGCCTCTTTCTGTATCTATTGTATTTTATTCTTGTTCTATGCCAAGTAAATGATAAGCTTGAGGAAGAAATAAATTGTGTAAAAATGATTATGACGATAAAAACAGAGAATAAAAATGGGTGTAAAAATGAAATCATTGTCATATGATATAAAGGAATGCCATACAAGAATTAAACATGGGTTAGAAAGTTAAGAATAAAATGAGAAAATAGAAAAACAATGATTAATGATTAATCAATAGACAAGTAATATATATAAAACTCAAAAATCTAAAGATAAGAATGATAACATAACAGGAATAAACGTAATAAATGATAATAATAGATAAAGGCAGATCGCAACAATGAGAAATGATAATGGGACGAAACAAAGGGAAGTTCAGATAAGAAAACGTAACGAAAGAAATAACAAAAAACAAAAAAACTGAAAGATAAGAAGAGAACAGAAGGGATGGCACAAAACAAAAAAATCTCGAAAGAAAATTGGACAAAATTCACCACCGAAAAAGAAGAAGAAGAATTGGTAGTTGAAAATAATATGCTGTGAGGCGGAGAAGGAAGATTTATTAAAAAACAACTATATCAAAAGACTGTTAAAAGGGTAAGTTTCAAAAAAGGGAATGTTTGGGGAAAATAAGAGGAATAAAAGGAAAGGCTGCTGACTGAGCTCAGAGAATAGATGCAATATAAACATACATACATATATATATATATATATATATATATATATATATATATATATATATATATATATATATATATATATATATATACACACACACACACACACACACATATATATAT